GTAGCTACTTATTAATGTGATGCGGACAGCCCTCCAATTGTTTTGATTTATAAATGCAGGTGTAGACAAGATTACCGTGGCTGGGAAGAGAACATGTACCTCGTTACAAGAGGCAGAACGAAGTGCCAACAGATGAAATTCAGAGCCCTACTGGACGTACACCCTCGCATGGCTGCCAACCGTACACAGTAAACACTTGCATACACATTTTCAAGATATAGAGTTAATAGTCAATATTAAGCCTTGGTTAACGAGTCTTTTCGTTAATTAGATAAAGCGCATTCAAATAACTGTAAAACTCCTCTGAAAATTCGTATCGAAACCGCTACCGACACAATACATTATTTTCCAAAAAGTGTCGCTCTGGTTTATGACGTCATGATTTGTTTAGATGGGAAACAGCCTCTGATTGGACCGCAATCATCACGTGATAAGCTCATGTATGGCCGCCGGCGATGAGCTTCTCGTAGTCGATTTTATAGCATTAAACATCCATGGAGCTCTCTTCGTGCAACATAGCACCAGGATAATCTACAAGTCCTGAAACTAGGGCTTACTGTTTCACTAAACACTTTCCCAGCGCTGAAGAATAAGTAATGGTTTGTTAAAGAAGTCACAAGTAATCGATTTTTATTATAAAAAATGGAAAATGGTACATGTTCTACTAAAGCAAAAAATAATTCATTTGAAATACAAAAAAACGGTACGCAGCTTTATTGTCATAAATTCATTTACTAGTCGATTTAGGAAGCTATGATACGCAAAATCGAATTGCATATGCATGGATAAAAACTAAAACTACAATTATATTTACATTTTTATAATTCACAACAATATAATGAAGGTGCATTTGTTTCTACAGATTCACACGAGCGTGCATTTGAATCTATATCTTTATTAATCTATCTACCAATTTGTATATCCATTTATCTATCTATCTATCTACATTTTTCAATCTATGTACCTATCTATTTATATACAAAAAATATACTTCTAAATATGCATGCATATATTTATATGAATATGAATGTACATACACATATACATATACATGTACATACACACATACGTACACACAGACGCCCGCGCGCGCAACACACGCGCACACGCACACACGTACACACACACATATATCTATATATATGTATACTTATATATATATATATATATATATATATATATATATATATATATATATGTATACATATATATATATATATATATATATAATATATATACATATGTGTGTGCGTGTATGTACACACACACACACACACACACACACACACACACACACACACACACACACACACACACACACATATTATATAATATATATATACATATATTATACACATGCGTATACTCACACGCACACGCACACACACACACACACACACACACACACACACACACACACACACACACACACACACACACACACACACACACACACACACATATATATATATATAATATATATATATATATATATATATATATATATATATATATATATATATGTATGTATATTTACACGAAGGGCGCTCACTGAAAACTTCCCTTGGCCCTCTTCCGCTTATTTTAGGAGGCTAAAATTTCACATGCATAAAGATACACATCTGGCGTTGATTCCCAGTCCTTACCTCTTAACATATTTTATGTTACAGCAGTGAATGTGCAGTAGGGTGTGGAAATGGAACCAACAGTAATATACTTGAAACCTTCTATGAAACGAAAGCATATGACGTTGCTAAACATTAGTATCGCTAGTTCATATGTGGTCGGAGATCCGTGGAAACGGCTCCTATTCCAGGGTGTTCCTAGTCTGCCATGGATGAGGATATCAATGGCAGTGGAGACTGCAATTCTGAAAGATCGCCGTATTACAGTTCGTCAGTTAATCCAAGATCTCAAGATTAATGTTGTGTCTGTGGACAAAATAATTTATGACCATCTGCATATGCAAAAGTCGTCTGCTCGATGGGTTCTCAGGCTACACAGACCTCTTCAGAAGTAGAACAAGTCCATTCTTCCAAGGCGTTTTTTTATGTGTCAAGAAAACCAGGAGGACTTCTTGTCAGAACCTGCTCACAATCTTTTGGAACCAAGTAGTTTTGATGGATTTCCTGGCAAAAGGTACTATAGTTACAGGAGCTTACTACATCTCACTGCTACTGAAATTGTGGGAGGCTATCAAAACAAAGAGGCACGGAATGAGTAAAGGTGTCCGCCTCCCACAAGACAAAGCCCCTGTTCACAACTCTCACATTGCCTTGATGGAAGCGTGGTCCTGCGGTTATGACTTCCTTCCTAATTCTCTTTATTCTCCTCAGATCTCAGCCTCCTAGGATAGGCGGAAATGGGTCTCGGGAAAGCTTTCATGAGTGCACACACACACATGCATATATATATATATATATATATATATATATATATATATATACATATATATATATATGTTGCTCCTCTCTGCCTCTTTCACTCTTCTGTTACCTTTCACCTCTCCTTACCCTTTTCCTTTTCGCTGCCACTACCAAATCGTCCTTAAATACAATCGCTTCCCTCCCGAAGCCCTACCTCCCTCATTCCTCTCCTCTTCCTCCTTCAACTCCCCCACCTTCTTCGCTCCCTTATCCCTTTCCCTCTTTTCTACTAGCCCCCTCTTTCCCCATGCCCACTCAAGTTTCCTCCTTAAGTTCTCGTCTATTTCCCCTTCCCCATCTCCCAATTCTCTTGAAGCCCCTTTTCTCCCTTTCTCGTTTTCCTTTTTTTCCCCTTCTCCTCCTACCTTCCTTCTTAATCTCCTTGCCTCAGATAGTCATATAAATATTATATGAGCATAAGTAGAATGATAATAATAGTAATTGTGATAATACTTATTATTGTTATTATAAGAATAATAGAAATAATAATAGATTTATAGAAGAAAAGGATTACCTCTTTCACATCTAGGCCCCTGCAGGTGCCTTCCTCCTACAGAGGACGCAGGTGTTCACTTTACTTTCTCTTTTGACACATTCTGCTAAGCAATCAAAACGCCCTCGCAAGGAATAGCTGCATGAAAGGACGTTTTGTGAGAAGCAGAGGCAGAATGAGGCAGACGCAGAACAGAGCAGGAAAAACAGGGACAGACGATGGTCTCGCTCGTCACCGCTGCCTCCTTGGCCCCGGGGCCACAGGTCTCGTGGGGTTTCACGTACATCTTCCCCAATAAACCCTCCAATCAAGACCTTCCTAGACCAGCAGCCCAACGACATAGGGTTAGACGAACTAGATACCAATGTCCGAGCATATGGTTATTTTGTGGCTTACCTGGGTTGTTCAAAAATGCGTCTGCCGGGAACCCCCTGGTGGGAATAGGGATGGTAACCCCCATAAGGGGCAAAAATATGGGTCTGACATAGATGACCGAGGTACCACTTGAAATCACATCTAATGTTTACTTATCATCAAATCTCCATCAGCAGTACAAAGGACAGACTTTTTTTGGGTTTGGAAGACCCCCCCAAAAGGGCGTCAAAATTAGGCTAGCATAGATGAACAAGGTACCGGTCAAAATTAGTGCCAAATGAACTTGTGTAGTGTACAAAGTCTAGAAAAAATTACTCCAGAAAAATCGGCTAGTGGACTATGTACACCAGACGCCCCCAAATATGGACGCTGGACCCCCTGGGGCTCATCTAGGCTAGCCTAGATATTGGAGGTAGCAGCTGCAATCAGGCTTATATGGTGAATGACATCCCAGAGAAATGAAATTGACCAACTTCAGACGTGTTGATGCGTGGGTGGGCCCTGCCAGACCCCCAAACTGGACCCACTGCCCCATCTAGGATAGCCTACATATATATATATATATATATATATATATATATATATATATTATATATCATATATATATATTATATATATATATATATATATATATATATATATATATATATATATATATATTATATATATATATATATATGCTCTATTCCCCAACCTTATCACAGTATGATGTTCATGCCATGCATGTATGTATGTGTGTATGAACATTTACATTATGTATATACATACCAGTATACACACACACACACACATATATATATATATATTTATATATATACATGTATGTGTAAGTATATGTAAATATACTTATAGATAATATAAGCGATTACATACAGTGAGCAATAATTGGCGTGCTCTAAGATCTATTTGTCACTTTTACGGTCGTAGACCTAATGGGGTCGGTGGAGGAGTTTGAATTATTAAACGTTATGAAGCATGTGGCTCTTCTAGTATGCAAAGTGAGATAAACTACGAGAACAGGTCACTAGTTCAGCTGGGATGCCGCAGATACCCGCTGCTTTACCACTCTTCAGCTTGGAGATCGCCTCCCTAACTTCAGCTAGGGAGGGAGGGTCCTCACTAATGGGTGGGTCCGGCAGTGGAATCACGACACTACCCACATCCAAGTTAACTGTTGGAGGGTCAACCTGATACAACTGCTCAAAGTATTCAGCCCAACGCTCCCTCACCGCAACAGGATCTGAGACAATCTAGCCACCCACTAAGTGAACTGCAGTCATCTGTGAAGAGGGCTTGGAGTTCAGTTTTCTCAGGGATTGGTATGCAGGACGAAGGTCATTTACTAAGAAATGGCCTTCAACCTCCTCAGCAAGATTCCTAATAAACTGTTCCTTGTCCCTTCTTAACAGAGACCGAGTTCTGCGCACCTGAGAACGGTGCAAATCCCGATCCCCTGCCAGACGAGCCACACGGCAAGCATCTGTGGCTTCCAGTGCCTTCTGAGAGATTGAATTCTGTCTTGCTCTCGGGCGTTCTCCACTCGATTCTTGGGCTGCATCAAGCGTTTCACGCATGAAGGTATCCCACAGAAGAACAGGGTCCGTCAGATTGTCAAGCGCTGTGAATCTATCAGAGATTGTCTCAGCAAACCTCCGAGCACACTCCCTCTCCTTCAGCCTGTCCAGATGAAACCCCCTAGGGTGGTCATTGGGCCGCTGGGGAGTATATATATATATATATATATATATATATATATATATATATATATATATATATATATATATATATATATATATATATATATATATATATATATATATATGTATATATATATATATATATATATATATATTATATA